TTATCGGTGTCAAGCGTGGTCACCAATCACAGCATGTATTCCCATTGAGTCTTAGTCTTGGAAGGGGGTTTGCACTGAGGGGACCTGACCACTTGCCTTGATGTTTCCTGGGCAAGCATGTTGCTTGTTCTTGTAGTAACTGTCGATCTGCCTATGTTGTTTTATATTTTTCCTGTAGGTTTTTCTTTCAAGAAGTATCTTCTGTTCTTCTAGCCACTCCGGGTTGGTCTACTTGTCCTTTGAAGTGGGAATTTCCCATCTCTGGAGATCTGGATGTGGTTCAGGCTTCCACCTATAGTCTTATGTATTGCAGAGTCTCTGTAGGTTGCTTGTGTTTTTAGGTAACACTTCTCTTTGCTGTGGCTGCTTTTATGATTCTCTCCTTGTTTTTGATTTTTGAAGAGCTTGATTATATGTCTTGGTGATTTTCTTTTCAGGTCTGTCCTTCCTGGGGTCCTTTCAGCCTCTTCAATGCTTATCTTCTCATCCTTCAAGATGTTAGGGAAATTTTCTTCCAATAGGTCCTCAACTATCTCCTCTGAGGACTACTGTGCTTCTTCCTGTTCTGGAATGCCAGTAATTCTTAAATTATTCCTCTTCATATTACCCAGCATGAATCTTAGACTCTTCAGATTTTTTAAATGCTTTATTCTGTTTGCTTTTCTATCTTAGCAGTATTGAGGTGTTTGTCTTCCAGTTTGCTTGTTCTGGCTTCCAGCTCTTCAATTCTACTCTTTTGTCCTTTCTGTGTATTGTCCATTTCTGATGTTTTATTATTAATCATATGGACCTCTTTTTGCATGTTTTGAATTGTTTTTAATGCTATATCTATCTTGTTTGATTGTTCCTGTAGCAATTTCCTGACTTCTTCCTTATTTTTCTCTGCCCTTCTGTGGAGCATTTGAGTTTGTCTCCATATCATTCTTCTGAATTCCTTCTCAGGAAGATCCAAAGCTGCTCTTCTAATAGGAAGTCTATGTCATCCTCCAGATAATTTGTCTCAGTTACTCTTTTCTGTTTTTGGACATGTGCTGAGATCTTTTGTTGTTTTTTCTTGGACATTTTCAGTAGTTAGGTGCATTTTCAAAAATTAAATGAATGTATGTTGCTGTGTTATTAGGTTTACTGAGTGTCTCCTGGTGAGTGCTATCTGAAGATAGGCTTCTCTTTTCACATGAAATGCCTAGCAGCTGATTGGTTCCTTTCCAGATGGTGGGATATTATGGAGTATGCTTATAGCTTGGTTATATGGCCACACTTGCTGTCTCTTCTTGGGTAATGTAGGGAGAGAAAGTTCCCATCCCCAGGAAAAAAGTGAGACCAAAACAACCAAAAAGAGACACAATATAAAAGCAGAGACAAAAACCACCACTCAAAAACAAAAATGAAACCATTGCTGACTGACCAGTAGCTTTGCGGCTCAGGTCAATGTGTGTGCACAGTAGAAACCTCCAGCAATTGGTGTGGGTGTCCATTCGCTCAGGCCCCTCCTCTTGTCACCACTATGTAGGTTCGAAGATAGATATTGAGAAATGAATGGATGAAAGATTGTCTACCATTTTTATCTCTGAAGATCAGTTAGATATCTGCGCATGCACAGCATAATTCTCAAAATAGCTGCGTCCTTGTATATAGTAGTTGGTGTTGTCTCATTACTTTTATGTTGGCATTTGCTAGGTGCACATATGGTTTGGCTGTATGGCCAAACCTGCTGTTTCTTGCTAGGTAAGACAGGAATAAAGGGTCCTTCCAGGTCAACTTTAGGGCTGAATCTCTGAGTCAGATGTCATAAGAAGCAGCCAGAGGATCAGCCTGTGTGACCAATGGGGCTCCCAGGAACTTCCTGCTTGTTCTTTGGGAAAACTGTGGGTGCAATGCTGGACTCTTTTGGGGGTGTGCTCCCACCTGTCTGAAGGTGTCCGGTCTGTGCAGTGAGGCTGCAACAGGGGAGAGGAGGAAGGAAAAGTGTAAAATCCTTCACACCTCTTTTTCTAGATGCCGCTCTATGGTTTTTAGTGTTGTATCATTGTATCAGCCTGGTTGTGCCCCGCCCTGTGATCTCAGCCCAGGCCGAGGGGCCCGCAGGGAGCATTCCAATCGATTCAGAAATCACTGCATTCTGTCCACAGTCAGATTTCTCCACTGATTGGCATGGGAAACTGATGCCCCGCACCTTATATTAGATCCAAAACTCTGGAGCTGCTCAGGGAAAGCACCTACTCTGGTTTTACTGTGCCTCTGCTGAGGAGTGTCTCCTACCTGTCTCTGCTTCTTCCACCCCAAACCAGAAGTCAGAAAGCTTTATTGAACCAAACAATCAAAATGCAAAGCTATTGCTTCTCAACATATCCTCCATCTGTTGTTGTTGTTAGGTGCCATCAAGTCAGTACCAACTCATAGCGACCCTATGTACAACAGAACAAAAACACTGCTGCCCAGTCCTGAGCCAACCTCACAATTGTT